TTGCGGTGCCCCCCTCGTCCCCAGTGCACCCCTCCGGCCCCGCCGTGCTCCTGCCTGGCGTGGTCGCGGATGCTGGGTTCACCAGGTGCTGTATGTGTTACAGGGCGTGTCAGAAAACACACTGGCCAGACCACAAGGCTTTGTGCCGCCCCGAGAACATCGGTTTCCCCTTCCTCATTAGCGTGCCGGAATCCCGCCTCACCTACGCCCGCCTGGCCCAGCTGCTGGAGGGCTATGCAAGGTGAGGGTCAAGGGAAGGAGGGTGCTCCTGGCCTGCAGCTGAGCTCACCTTGTCCCTATCTGTCTCTGACTGCCACCTCCTTGCCCAGGTACTCGGTCAGCGTGTTCCAGCCTCCGTTCCAGCTGGGCCGGATGTCACCGGAGCAGGGGCTGCAGCCTCTGCTCCCGGACAAACTGGAGCCCCTGGCCAAGAGCAGCTGTGCAGCAGCCACCTCTGCCCCTGAGCTGGGGGATGGGGACAGGGCTTCCAGCATTCTGCAGGAGCCCCCGCTCTCACCAGCTGTGCCTGAGCTGCACCCAGAGATGGAGGATGCTGGCACTGTCCGGAGCAAGGTCCTGGCAGCCAGGAGTTCTCTGCTGAGCTTGGATTCAGGCTTCTCTGAGCACATGGAGTCGCAGGGCGACAGCTGTTGCGAGAAGGAGCCATCCTATGAGAGAGCCCTCAAGCCAGAAGGTAAGAGGTGCTGCAGTGCTAACTGTGTCTGTGCCAGGAGCCCAGGCAGCCTCGAGACAAAACAGAAGTGATTCTCCCTCCTTGGGGTGACCTCCCACCACAGCATCTGTTCTCCTCTTGTGAACTTGGTCTGGAGACCCTTGGGGACATATGTGAGGCCCTGGCAGCTGTGTTTTGGAAGTGCTGCCCCACCTGAAATGCCTGCATGCCTGCCCACGCTCTGCCTTGCCCTGGCAGGCCCCGTGGGGCAGAGACCTGACTAGGAAAAAGGCTGAAGCGTTGTGGTGTTGTGGGAGGGGTGGGAAGAGGCAGGGGCTGGCAGAAGCCTCCAAGTCCCGTGGGAGGGCAGAACCCAGCGCAGGCTGAGCCTCACAGGGCTGTGAGCACAGCGTTTCCCTCGCTCTGACTCAGCTCCACGGGGCCAGCCTCTTGCGCTCGGCTGCCTGGCTGTCACGTTTCCAGACACTCGTCTCAGGATGGCAGCAATGTGCAGTGAAGGGGCAAGGCAGGCAGAGGAGCGCAGCTTGCCAGGGGCAGGCGCCTGCTAAAAATAGTCAAGGACACGGGGCACGTGGTTGTGTCCCCGCAAGGCCGTAGCATGTGAGGTGGGGGTGGGGGCACGACAAATTCTTGGCCCCTACACAGGGCAGACAGGCAGTGCCACCACGGATCTGTCCCTGCATGTCCACAGCTGCCATCCCTGGGTACCAGCATGCTCCAGACTCGCTGAGTGCCCGCGCCACGCAGTTCTACATCAACAAGATTGATGCTGCCAACCGAGAGCACAAGCTGGAAGACAAAGGTGAGCCTGGAGCCCCAGAAAGCACCACCTTCATCCCTCGTGGCCTCTGTTGTGGCCTCTGCCTGGCCAGGGTGTCAAAGGCTGCCTGGCACAAGGTGAACCCAGATGTGACGGTGCCCCCAGGCTAGACAGTGAAAGCTGCATCTGGCACAGGGGAGAGCAGGGCTGTGCTGCACAGAGCTGGAAGCTCTTCTCAGGCATGACGTTCCTGCTCTCCTCAGCAAATAGACCAATTCCATTCAGCCTTGTGCATCCACAGAGGGTCTGTTTTCTCTGGGTCGCTTATTGTCTGAATGGGATGCCTGCATCCAGTGCTGGTTATGTAGGTGCTGCTGAGAGGGGCTGTGCCTTTGTTGGGGAGCTCTGCTGCCCTGGAGAGATCATCCTGGCTGTGGGGCACTTGTCCCTCCCTGGCAGCACTGTGTGATCACCGTATCGAGCTGGGCAAGACTGCTACTAGCCCTGGCAAGGTGGCCTGGCCCTGCCCGATAGGGCAGGTGAGTGAAGTGTGCGCCCCTTCGCAGGTGACACTCCCCTGGAGCTGGCAGATGACTGCTCCCTTGCCCTGGTGTGGAAGAACAATGAGCGCCTCAAGGAGTTTGTGTTGGTGGAGTCCAAGGAGCTGGAGTGTGTGGAGGACCCGGGCTCAGCCAGGTTTGGCCACTTCACGCTGGAGCAGTGCCTCAATCTCTTCACCAAGCCCGAAGTCCTGGCCCCAGAGGAAGCGTGGTGAGGGAGGTGGCAGGGTGGGTTTCCAGCCCGTGGGCCCAGGCAGCAGCGGAGATTTCCCAGGAGCTGCCTGGGCCTGCACGCTGTTTGTTCTGGCAGCCAGGAGTGTTGGGCTGGCCTCCCCTGTGCACTGGGGAGGGAGGCCATAAGCCAGCAGGGAGCAATGCCAGCGCTCTGCTGCTCTCTTGGCAGGGGAGGCTGAGACCTCCTGCATCCCCTCTGCCAGCCCCACACGCGGGGAACCGTGGGGCAGGGCTGGGCTGTGGGACCTGAGGCTCCCCACGCCAGTAATGAGCACGCTTTTCCCCCAGGTACTGCCCCAAGTGCAAGCAGCACCGCGAGGCTTCCAAGCAGCTGATGCTGTGGCGGCTGCCCAACGTCCTCATTATCCAGCTCAAGCGCTTCTCCTTCCGCAGCTTTATTTGGAGGGACAAGATCAATGACATGGTGGACTTCCCTGTCCGGTGAGAGTCTGAGGAACAAAGTGCCTGGGTTGACACTGGCTGTGGTGCCCCGCAACCTGGCCTCTCACTGTCTAATGCCAACTGCCCCGACTGTCCCTGTGTCTCTCCCTAGGAGCTTGGACCTGAGCAAGTTCTGCATCGGCCGGAAGGGCGAGCAGCAGCTGCCCATGTACGACCTGTACGCTGTCATCAACCCCTATGGAGGCATGATTGGGGGGCACTACACAGCTTACGCCCGCCTGCCCAACGACAAGAACAGCCAGCGCAGTGACGTGGGTGAGGATCTGCCAGCCTTGCCACCCCCCTGCTCCTGCAGCCATGGCCTGTCTGCTTGCTTAACCCTTCTCTCCTCTCAGGCTGGCGGCTCTTCGACGACAGCACAGTCACCACCGTGGACGAGAGCCAGGTGGTAACCAGATATGCTTATGTCCTCTTCTACCGCCGGAGGAACTCTCCTGTGGAGAGACCCCTGCCAGGGCACCCCCCAGACCACCGAGCCGAGCGCACCCCCTCTGCCGAAGCTGCTGCCAGCCAGGTGAGAGCTCGCGTCCCTTCCGGCACTGTTGGAGCTG